TCCCTCTTTCTCTCTCTCCTCTTTCTCTTATTTCTCTCTCTCTCACTGCAACATGTTTAACAAAAAAGGAATACACAACAACAAAGGGAACATTTATGATTATTAAATATACTAATAAGCAGTGCGTCCTGCCATGTACTGCCTCTCTTCCCCCGCCCCCCTGCCCTCATTTTGTTTTTCTGGCATGCTGGCACTCCGGCACCTTCCAAGGTAAACCTGGTGGTTTTTCGGCACTCTGGCCAAAAAACATTGCCTGCCCCTGGCCTAGAGCTACCTCTGGTTGCTGCAGAGGGCCAGCACAGGGCCGGAAGGCTTGGGAACAGACTGCTGCCATAAGCAGCAAATCTGCTTCCACATCCCGGCATGTGTAGCTGCCTGCCTAGAGTAGGTTTACTGTAGAGTAAAATACTCTGGAGCAAACCCACCCCACAGCATTTACATGTGTAGATGTACTCAAGGTAAAGTTAACAAAATTTGGACTCTACATAGCAAACTGAACTCCATTTCTGGAACTCAGGCTGTCTTACACCCAGATCTCTGGCCCCCAGAAAAACGGAAACTCAGTCTCCATTTCAAAAAAGCTAAATGTCCTGATTTTAGTGGATTCTATCATTTGGGTTTACCCAACATATTTGTTTGGTGGTTGGCATTCTAAAACAAAGTGGACAGTGTGGCTTTTACTGTAGGTTGACATTTCTTCTCTTCTAGTTAACAACTGTGTAGCTGTTCTGATGATTTCTCTCAATATCCCTGTGTTGGTGGTATCTTTGTAGTGCTTCTGTAATAGCGTAAGATCAGAAGCCATTCTACCTTATTTGCACTGATTTAAAACTGAAGTAACTTTGCTAACCGCAATGTAACTGAAAGAAGAATTTGACTAAAAGGGAGCAGTTAGGAGGGGAGTTTAGGAGCAGAGTAGAGGGTTGTAGTGCATTATGTGGATTTTCATCTTTGTCTGAGGAATCTGGCTCTAATCATTGTTAGTGTCTTTTTACGCATTACACTGGGCGCACCTACACAAGACACTTTACTGTGCTGTAGAGCTAATCACTGTGCAGTAAGTATCTGCATCTACATGTGCAGACACTTACTGCGCAGTAATTGGCTCTAATCGTGAGTATATTTGCTACCTGCAAATGAAAGTAGCAAATTTACTCGTGACTAGTAACTGCACAGTAGCACACATGTAAATCCCTGACCAGGAGCAAATGTGTTCCCAGGCAGCAGGGGATGGGAGATTGCTTCCTGCCCCCAGGAACTGCCTGCTGCCAGGGCGCAAGGATAATGTCCCCTTGCCCTGGCATCAGGGAGCTCCCGGTGCCAACTCCGCGATTGTGGGGCTGCCGCTGGGAGATCCTTATCTCTCAGCCTAAGCCTTGTGGTCGCGGACCTGGGCTGGGAGAGCTTTATCTCCTTGTGCCGCCACTAATTGTCCTCAGGGAACGCCTGTGCCATGCGTACTGTGGTGCGAGGCAAATTACCTTGGGTGGGGTAGGGGAAGCTGCGGCCAGCACTGTGCTGGCCACAGCAGCCTTAACTGGGGCTCAGGGGCCTCCTGGGGCAACAGCAGCAGCTATCCTACTGTGGCTCCGGCCAGCCAGGCTCTGGCTTTGGGCGGTGCATGCTGCTGTCACATGCAGCACTCGGATTATTTTCCCCTCTGTACTACTCCCTTGCAGCATGGAGAACAACTGAATGTGCGGTATGTGCTTGTCTGGACACTGCCTGCATGTGTAGGTGCCTGCCTGGGTCAGTTTACTAAAGTACTTTACAGTAAACTGATCCCACATTATTTGCATGTGTAGACATGCCCACTGTGAACTGCACAAATGCTGATTGGTTTAGCACTAGCTTGCAGTCACACCTTCAGTTTGAGCACCACATCTGTGGGAAGTAGCCACACCTTAATGGAACAGGAGCTGGATTATGCGGATCAAGAGAGAATCTTGCTCTGGAGTGGCGTAACTTTGAGCTGCATTTTGAGTGCTTTAAACCGCTTAAAGGTGTTAATGTGCAGACAATCCAGGGTTTAAGAGCGCCAGGAGCCACCCAGCATTAACATGCAACAAGGCCCTTAGCAAAAAATTACCAAGGGTAGACAGACTTGGTAGTGTATGGACACAGCTGGGTGCTCAACGGTCAGCTGGGTGTCTAAAGTGTTTGCCCAGTTTGCCCTGCCCTAGTTATGTCTCTGGACGGACCTTTGATCTATACTGGTATGGCAGTTCCTATGCTATTATCATCTCTGCTTAGTCTGTGTAGCTGTTTTTGCTATTACATTAACGAAGGCCCTATCCCCCATGTATGATGAATTAGAACAATCTTAGTAAAAAGAGAATGAACGTCAACAGAAGGAGTAAGAAGACATTGTAGAGAGACTAGAATGCAATGTCAATAAAAACACAGCTTCAGAAAGTTTGTTTTGTTTTGACTTCTTAAAAAACTGCTGATGAAGACTGTTGGAAGCTCACTATGTGTGAAGCTGACTGTCTCTAATCTCCCTATGTGAAGGAACTCCCTGGCTGTGAGGTTAATTAATTTTCTCAAGCATACAGTACTTTCTTAGATTATATTACCTCAATGTACTTTCTTTGCTATAGTTTTAAACCCCTTTTACTATAGCTGTTCCTACTTATTTAATTTCTTCAGTAATTTCAACAGACAATATTCAATCAATACTTCTTTTATTTTTCACTTTTCCTTCAGCAATTAAGAACTATAAATAAACTCACTGCTCACGTGTAAGTGACTCTCTCAATTACACTGAGCACTTAAGTAATAGCTCAAGAGACATAGGGTGCGTATCCTACAAGTTTATACATATGCAAGTGGTTACACTGAACTCTAACTCTGATGCATAAGTGTTTACAAAAATTGGGACCTAAATGAATATTGATCCCGTGGCTGATCAATATTTTTATTAATATATTCTACTTATGAAATTTCCAATGACTTCCCTAGGAATTCACTGCATGGAGTAGCTAAAGAATCAGGCCCTTGAAAAACTAGTACAGCTCCATAATTAAGCAAAAACACACATGGCCACAGTCCAGCTAAGACTGGGTGAGAAATCATGTGAAGATTAGGCCACAGCACAAGGCTGAACAATATCTATCAAGTGCATGAACAGGAGATCTTTAGTCATGACCCAAGCAATGATCCTGCAACTAATTCCTTGCAATCAGATCCTTACATCTCCATGATTCTCCTTGCAGGGTCAGGCCCTAAATATATTTTTCTTTACAACTGATTTTGATTTTCTTTTATAAACCACAGTTTATTTGAAATCACTTTTTATCTTATGCCACAGTAAAACTAGTTACACCATATGGCAGTGAAGACTAATAGCAATAACCTGGAATATTCATGCCACAATATTAAATCTAAAAATCATTAGAGCAGTTGCAAGAACAGAAAGTTACCAACACAAAATAGAAAGATGGTATATGGAGAAGCAAAAAGGAGGCATTTAGTAGTTGAGAAAGTTTTTAGAGTTTCATATTTTAGCCATTTTATGTACACTAAAATGTCATGCAGTGCGCTTTTAAAATAAATTATATCCGTTAGCTATTTTTACAAGTGTTTGTGTGTGTGTGTGTGTGTGTGTGTATACACACACACACTTAAACACTTGTAAAAATAGTTAACAGATATAATTTATTTATATATTTATTTTATACACACACACACACGCATTTTCAGATCTCTTTTTGATTTGTAAATTTTAATTTTACAAAATTTAGTAAAGTACATTTAAAAGTAAGATTAAAAAGTAGTTCTGTGCCTAATGCCTTTTCTTCCCATCACAGAGGGTTACTGGATAGTATTCATATCCAGTAAATAAATCACAGATAAATTCAGTGTTGAGTACCCTTTTGTAGTTCGATTTTAATTAGTTTTGGGTTCAGTAGTGAGTCATACAAAAAGGCTTTGACATTTCTTTTAATATTTTGGTACTTGTTTTTTCTAATGTGGAAGTTTGCATTTATCTTTAATCATGTGCATATTCAACAAGTGTCTGGAATATTAAATTATTTTGAAAAAGGTTACTGATGAAGATTTAATAAATAAAAGTACCTCTATTAATTGTTTCATCTTTTGAAGGATGCATCTACATGTTCATTAATGTGCAGTGCCTACTGCACATTAAATTTAGTACTTGTATAATCAAATCCTAAATAAATGTGCAGTAGGCTGCCATGCTGCGCATTAGCATGATCTCATGCTTTTTGTGTGACAATGCACAGTAGACTAATACTACTTTGCATTTGCACACTTTTTTCTGTGTGCACTAATGCACAGTACAATTAGTCTACTGCTCATTAAGCATCTCGTGTAGATGCACCTAGACTGTGAGAACTGTTTGCAGTACATGTGGGAAAAGTATCTTAAAACTCATTGTCTTTCCTTTTGTTTCCTTTTTTTTTAGCAAGCGGTAAACAACTTCCCATTTTCATCTCATGACAACAAACATTGTTTACAGAATAGAGGGGAGTACTTTGATTTTGTAAGTATCCAAAAACTTAAAAGTTCATCTCTCTCAACTTGTCCATTATTTAAAGGCAGCATTTTTTCCTCTCACTTGCAAAAACATCAGGGATCCTTAAAAAAAAAGGGATGAAAGAAAATTAACAGAAGCAGCAATACTGAATGCACAAATTATTGACATTAGGATATATCTTCCTATATGTAATAACATGTGAACATATCTTCACAGACCCACCAAACTAATCTTTTATAAGTGTCTGGAACACTCATGTAGAATCTGGCAAGACTGATACAGACATGCTGGATTTCTTTTGGAACCTAACAATTCAAACCAAGACACTTTCTCTTATTTCACAGACAGATGGATTGGCCACCTGCAAAAGTATTATTACATTGATTTTTTTTAAAAATCTGGATGCATTGAGTGCTTGGTGTGTGATGGCTTTGCATACTCTTCTGTTGATACATTTGTAATTTTTTCCCTTTGTGTATGCATATGTGGCTCTTCTACCAGAATTTGGTCTTTAGTCAGGGGCACAGGCCTTATGAAATGAACTTACTCAGCTTGAATTCCAAAATACAATTAATTATTTTAAATGTCATTAGTAATTTTGGGTCTCAAATTTGAGCACCACAAAGGGGCCTGATTTTCAGAAAAAGCATATACCTGCCTCCTAAAAGTCAGACCCTTTTATCTCAACTTGGGCACTCAAATCATTTGTCAATTTGTAAGCCAGTAGAAATAATAATTATATAATAATAAAAAAGCTATTACATGTTTTGAAAACAGCAGCAATGACATAAGAAACACCTAATTCCTCAGCTACAATTACATCAAAATTACTGAAACTAAACTTAACTTTTAGGCTTTGTAGTATCACAGTCTGCCCTAAAGCTGTGATCTCTGTATTTCTCTGCAGCAAATTGAACATTCTGGATTTCTGAAACAGCCATTCTTACACTTCTGTGTATGTAAAAATCATCCCTCCTTCCAGAAGTTAAAGTGAATGGTCTTTTTTTAAGGGAATTACGGAGGGACTGTGGAAAACACTATCTAATCCCCAGCCTGTACGCAAGCTTCTGAATTGTAACACAGCCTCTCCATAGCCTCACCATATCCATTATTGCAATATTTAGCCTGGGACAATTGCTGATGTCTTTCTTTCTTAAGTCCTGGGCCTGCATAAGTATTGATCAGTGGGTCTCAGGCATAATCATCTTACTCCCCTCTTTGCTTGCTTATGTGAAGCTTGAGAGAAGCCTACTGCTGCACTGAACAAGGGGAATAGAGGCCTTCCTATCTGCGGTTTACTGAACTGAAAAATCACAAAAATTGGTTTAATTTAAATTTTCTGTTTTTTCTCATAAATACAAAAAACCCCTCTGAAAATATTCATTTTGTTCGACATGAAATGTCGTTTGACTCAAAATGAAATGTTTCCTTTTCATGAAACGAGAAAGCAAAGGAAATGATTCACAAAAATAGTGAAGGAAGTCCTTCTCTTGTCCAGTGGTTCAGTGCTTATCCCACTTACCAGAGATGTGAGAGCCAAGCTCAGTGCCTAAGGGGATTTAAATCCACATTTTCTACAAAACAGCCCTAACCAGCAGGATATGGGGAATTCTAAGATGAGACTCTTCAATCTCGGTATCACTTTGTATAAAATATATAACTATTTATTGATACAGAGAAAGAGAGAGAGAATGACTCTGTAGATTAGTACCATAGAATTCTTGCTTAGGAGGTTAGGTATATGGATTCTGGTCCCTATTGCAATAAACATTTAATTACACAAGGTGGAATAGTGTTATTGGGAGAAATTAAGAGCAGTCCTGGCCCTCGTAATGCCAAATAACCTGGTGGTTAGAGTATTCTTGTAGAAGATGTAAATTCAAATCTCAGGCAGAGAAGTCTCCAACATCTTGAACTTTTGAGCAAATGGGAGATACCACCACCTTTTTTCTACTTTAAACTATTTGGCAGAATTCATGTATATTTTCCTGATAATCAAAACTACATTTTTCCATGCAAGTACTGTTCATCAAGAGGTGTTACCTAGGATATGTATGTTAAGGTATGTTGCAGGAGCTCTTATTCTGAAGGAGTACATTTTTAAGCGTCCTTTTTTGCCCTTCATCATGTTCAGTAATTTCAATTTTGATTTTTTCCCCCTCTACATATAATGTTTCTAAAGCAACAAAAGAAGCAGTGGGCAGTGAAGAGAGCACTGTGTCCTATGTTCTTATTTCTGCTCTGATTCCCAACTCCCTTGTGACTTTGGACAACTCTCCCAGATCCAGATTTTAAATGTTTCTTACTTTTTTGGTGCCCAGTGTGCAACATCTAGTCTCTCTTATCAGAGATGTTGATCATTTATCACTGAAGTTATATTCACTGAAAGTCGTGGGGTCTGAAAATCAGATTCTATGGCCTTCCAAAATAAAGAACACTTTTGAAGATTTTAGTTTCATACTCTGTCTCCATTTCTTAACATGGAGGACAGAAACAACAATATTTACTCATCTACCCCACAGTGTTGAAAAAATGAATGTAGCTAATGCTTGTACTTCACTTTGAATATATAAAGGAATGCAAAGTATTATTTTACACATAATAATAAATCAAAAAAGTCAACCTGTTTATCTGAAGTTTTCCTATGTGCTATAGTGCAGTTCATTTTGCTGCCAGAAACATGTATATAGGTAGGCCAGGAAATAATATTTGCAACTTTATCACTTGCTGCAGACCAGCATAATTCTTAGATCATGTTTGTGTCAGGTTCTTTAATTTTATTTTTTCTGTGATGAAGTAGCATTTTTTTCCCTTTAATTTACCCATTTTATTAGTAAAACCAAGGTCCCCAAAGGTAAATCAATTTTCATCAATTTTCCTTTGATATTTTTTCCAGGGTTTAGGACGAAAGAAGGTTAAACCTGAAAGAAGTCAGCAGAAGTCAGAAAATTTCTTTCTATGGGCACATGAGTCCATTCCTAGCAGTAATGATGGCTTCAGCATTTATCAAACATCATTCACAGGGGACCAAAACACTGAGCGCCCTTTTTGTAGGCGATATCCAAAACAGCACTTGGAAAGATGTTGCATTGATAAGCCCATCCTGAGAATGAAAAACAAATATAGTTAAGCAAGCATATTCATTACAAAACTCCTGTATGGTGTCTGCTGACTCTAATCAATGGCCTTTCCCTTAGTCTGAATTCTTACCACTCAAACATGACAGAGTAAATGTAATATAGGAAAATAGATCTTGCAGCACTTGCCAAACAGTTTTGATTTACAGCAAAAGCTGTGTTAACCGGCACTTTATTAGCCGGAAAACTCTACTAACCAGCATCCAAGGGATGCAGCAAAAGTAAAACCAGAAGTACCACTTCCGGGGGACTTCCGGGGGACTTCCGGCTTTGCTGCCGCAAGCCGAGCCGTTCTTTGTCACTTCTTCAGCCCACAGCCCAGGGCAAATCAGCCTGCGTGGGGCAAAGCAGCCTGCACGGGGTCCCCCTTCCTGTCCCCCGGCACACTGATGCCGGGGAGTGCACCAGACGGTGCACATTTGATTAACCGGCATATTTGATTAACTGGCATCCCCCATTCCCAGAGCTTTTACTGTAGTTAGAAAGTTTGTTGACATTAGCAGTTATCTTGGAAGTAAAATTACTGTGAAAACACAAATGACAAGATATACAATAAAGTACGTTTTAATGAACAACTTTGTGAGGAAAAATATGGTTGTCTTTATACAGTTGTTTTCTTTTCTTTTTTCTTTGTTGGGGAAAAAAACAATGATTATACCCATATACCTTGAAAGGGATAGTGGCTCGGACGCTGCAGAACTCCTCCAGTAGGGATAGGGGTGGTTTAATGGGGGCCAGGTGGGCAGGTGGCTACAGACAGAACTAGTTCAGATCCCACCACAATACAGAAATCCCATTGCAGGCATACCCTGCAACTTCAGATATGGGATACATTTTGCTGAAACATTTCAATGGAAAGCTGGGAATTAGCATTAGAGAAACTTGGTAATTAAGCAACAACATGTAAAAATTGCCCATAACAAAGAAGGAGGTATATAAAAACAAGGGGGATCATAGAATCATTATAGGTTTGGAAGAGACCTCAAGGGTGATTTAGTCCAATCCACTGTACAGGTGCAGGGATGTAACAATGTTTGCATGTGTGTGATTATACATAACATTCATGGAGATAGGGCATGGAGGTTTATAGAAGGAGAGGCTCTGTGAAGACTTCCATTGAATTAAAAGTTGATGGGATCTGGAAAGAACACATGCTTTTCTAGTTAAACAGCAACAGAAAAGTAAAGGCACCTTCAAGTGTAATGAATATGGAACTCCTATGGGCCCCATCATGGGGAAGGCTTGTAGATTAGGTCCAAAAATGAATGAATTTTCCTTCTCCAAATCATTTTCATTGATATAGTTCAGGGGTGCTCAACCCCCCGACTCATGAACCATATCTTCCCCACAGAGCCATGTTATCATAGGTGCCAACTTTGTTTTTTGTCCATGGGTGCTTGCAGATGTAAACTCCCCTCCCTCCCCACCCCCACCCAACACAAAAACCAAAAATGGTGCTTTACTTTTAAATTGGCACATTCCCACACCAAGCTCTACCAAGCCCTGCTCATGCCCAGAAGAGGCAGCACGTTATTTCAACCCAGCTTTGCAGCATCTGTAAAGAGCGGGCACTTTACTGGGGACTTTTTGGTACTTTTATCTAATAGCTGATTGAATCAGCTTTAGTGAAAAGCACCAAAAAGCCCCGCTGAAGCGCCCGATCTTTATAGATGCTGAAGAGCTGGGTCAAACTAACGCACTGCTTCTTCCAGTAAAGCACAGTTTTGTTTTTGTTTTTTAAATGTCTGCAAGTATGGCTCCATGGGTGCTGAGCACCTGCTCATTTTTTCAGTGGGTGTTTGAGCCCTGGAGCACCCACAGAGTTGGCGCCTATGCATGCTATCCAGCCTGCGGGGCTTCCCTCCGGTCCAAAAATTTGTCACAGGGAAACAGTGGCATCTAATTGTCGCTCTCCTGCTGTCAAATTTCCCCAGCTGGAAGGAGTCCTAAGGGCCAGATAGCATGGCCTTGTGCACAAGATGGGGCTGATCTGGGAAGCATGAAGGTTTTACTGGGCTGAGTGAAGTAGCGTGGGACAGTGGGACAGCATGGAGGCACATGGGGCTGAGCAAGGCAGCATGAAGCCAAGTGGTGCTTGGACGAGCAGGGCAACACAGAGGTGCACAGAGCAGCATGAGACTGAGTACAGCTGCACCAGATCCAATTGTGGCATGTAGGGCCTAATCCTGCAGGGTGCTCAGGACCCAGTCCAGCCTGTAGGCTACCGTGCTTCATTTATCTGGCCCATTTATCCGGCCCACCATTTGTGTAGTTTATCATAGTTTTAAACCAAAGCAAGTATCTCAAAAAGTGTCTACAATAAACTCACTGCCATGCAGATTAAAGTGGAATGGGAAAATAAACATACATTTCTGGGATAGGCTGTCTTGACTAACAAAGAAACAGAACAAGAAATCCAAACACTTCGAATCTACTGAGCTGCAAAGAAGCAGCAAGAGTTAGCTTAAATATGTAAAAGTTATATATTCCATTCAATGTATAGATATATCTTTTTTCCACTAAATTACATACAATAGATGACCTTCTCATGTCACATCAAACTATGTTATATTGGAAGATTTCCAAAAACATAGTAATCTTATGAGCACATGCTAAAATAATAAATAATTATTTTATTTATGAAGTGCCCCCTACCAGAGGTCTTGGGGTTTTGCACAACATTTTGAAACAAAAAACATCATTAAACAATAAGAACACAGATTAAAAGCCAAGTTACATAGTGTTATTAGAAAGAATTATTTTTTTATTTCAAAGTGAACAGAACCAGCCTGACAGCTCTAAAATGAGATTTTCCATAGCTTTAGACAATGATTTAATCTCCAAACTGATTCAAAACCAAAATGTGTGCCAATCACATGGTATGTGAAGTACCCCATGCTGCTCAGCATACTCAAGAGCGCAATCTTGGACCTCCACCAGAAGGAAGAAACACATTCTTGCTACATTTGTAATGTTGATCTGGGGTTTAATATTACAGAAGAATATGGTGAAATAAGGCTCTCTGGTTTGTTACGCTTTTCACCAGCAATAGGAAAATTACAGATTTATTTCTCATCTAATTTTTTTTTCTTGCTTAAACTGTGACTCAGAGTTACACTTAGAAGTTCTGGATTAGTTTAGTTACAGATTCACAAAAAAATTTCAGTAAAGACTCTAGGGGAAAAACAAGAATACATGAAATCTCTATCCAAGGTGGAATAACAGTGTATTAACTAGATTGAATGAAACAGATGACTTCCCGATATCTCAAATCCATGTGTCTCCTCTAAAACAAATATGAGACAAAATACATGTGTCAATATTTAATATTTAAATTCTAATCAGAAGTCCCATGTATTAGAACTTAATGGTCCTCTTGCGCACTCTGGATTAGGTCATGGATCTCATCAGTGATTTCTTCAAAGATGAGGTGCTTCAGTCAGAAGCATATGGAGTGGTTTGTATTATGAGGTGTTTTTTTCCCTTTGGAGGGAGGTGTTTACTCCACTTGCTAGTTCAGAGAGTGCTCAGGAAAGCACTGCCATCTGACAGTTAATAAGCATTAGCTGAGCATAGTTAGGCTCAACAACATGAAGAAAGACTGGGTCAGGGCAATCTTCTGATTAGTCCAGGGAAACATAAAGAGTGATTTGTGTGATGACTGGTATTGCTGCTTCTGTGACACAGCACCAAATTTTAAGACTTTGTAAGTGACCTATTGGTAAAAAAAATAGCAATACAGAATCAGGATATTTTCTTAGTACAAATACAAAATATATGCAAGTCCTGTGTCTTTGAAGAGCATTGATAATTAACTACACATAGCTAACAACCTTGTTGTAAAAACATTCAGTGCACAATTGCTGCCTGCCTCAACAAGCAGCAGAGTTGCCTATCTGCTCCTTTCTAGGGCCTTGCAACGTTTTAGGGGCTTGTCTAAGCAGAGAAATTGGGTTTTGCTAAACTGGTACAGCTCCAATAGGCAGCACCTTTCTTTATATAATTTTAAAATAGGTTGCATTGTGCCTGGAAACTGATTGATACAAAATACTTGATAAGCCAGATTTAAAGTGGCAAGAGGGTGTTTACTCATGAAACTGTGCCATGTTAACTAAATTCAGATGAAGCTATACTTCTGTGTTTATACCAGACTCAAGTTTCTCTCCCTTTTTTTTTTCTCATTTTGTCTAGTTGGTGAACTTCACGCCCGCGAGAAACTCTCAAAGCTCCTCCTGTGGCACCAAATAGCCTTCACAGGCATGCTGGACATTATCTTTCCCCTGTGTGACTGCTTAAGCTTCACAATACAGTGCTATAACCTGCACGGTCATCTTAACAAGGTCAGTGACCATGCATAGGTTACAGCCTCTTTTTGGATAACAGTATATGGGCCTGCCTTCACTACATTGAGGGTTGAGTTGCAACTAGTGTGTTGCTCCTAACCTATCTCCTATCTACAGGTTTGTTGCTTAAGTGGTGCTTTGATATTACACTGGAGGACAGCTGATGCTAGAGCTGGTCAATTCAGTGGAAATAAAACAGCTTGAAGTACAACTCATCAGCTACTATTTTACTGACCCTGTTCTGATAATCAAATCATTCTGCATACCATAAATATTGTTTCACAGCATAGTCATTCAAATTAATCTGGAGACTAGCTTGGGTGAAATAACTTGAGCTTGCTCTTCAAGTGAGGGTAAGCCTTATTTGTTCTGGAGTTCATGGTCAGTGAAGTTGTGTGGTAGGAAGGCTACCAGAAAAATACCTGTTGCATAATTTTAATTATGTCAGTAGAGTTAAAAAAAGTACAGTCCCTCTAATCCAGCTGTGGGAAAGAACGTATACTAATGCCAGGACTCTCTATACTGGTGTACTGCATTATATTAGGTCTGTGAAAATAACTTCTGATTTTTTTAAAAAGCACATCCCTAACCATTATACTGGTACAACTTCTGGGTGTAGTTCAGGCCCTGGGCTAAACTGATTTTTATTT